ACTTCCTGTTGTATAGCAACAGAGAAGCTGTTCACCAGAGCCTTCAGAGGCAGCGTGCTCTGGTTTTTACACATCTGGGGGCTGAGAGGAGCAGCGTGCAGGAGACGGAGCTCAGATCTGCATAATTACAACTTACAGTCAAGCCCTGCCCCGAGGCACCTCGTGTACCTGCTCAGTGAACAGCCTCCTGAGCGACTCCACCAATGCATTTTTCACGTTTGTGTTTCTTTCAGTGAACGGGCCTGCTGGTGGCAACAAGGCACTGAGGCCAAGGCTGGCAGGGGGAGCCTCGCGAAGCTTCTGTGCTTCTGTCTGGGGTGACCAGGAAAGGACGTGGGTGGGAAGCTGCTGTGCTGGCCTGCGACTCTGGATGCCAGGTGGGTGATCTGCGTCCCTCAACCCCAGCTGCTGCCTCTTGCTGAAAGGAACGTTGTGGGCATGTCAGGGAAGAGTGCGGGACCTCAGTCCCTGCCTGCAGGTGTATAAGTCTGGGAGCTGCTTTAGCTCCAGCCAGATCCCACAGAGGAAGACCCGCGGGCACTAGCCTTATTTTTTTATGAAATTGTTACTTGTTTAATTGAAAGGCGTAGAGAGAAAGCAAGAGCGAGAGCGAGAGTAAGTGAGCAAGCTTCCATCTACTGGTTCACTCCCCCAAAGCCTGCGACAGCTTGGACGAGGCCAGGTGAATGCTGGGAGCTGGGAACTCAATCCAAGTCTCCCACAATAGTGGAGGGCCCCAAGTATTTGAGCCACCTCCTGCACATTAGCAGGAAACCGGAATCAGGGATGGAGCCAGGACCCTCTGATGGTGGGATGTGAACACCCCACGCTGTGTCTTAACCGCTGAGCCAAATGCCCACCCCTCACCAGGCTTCCCAAGGTCATTATCAAAGCGGAACGAAGTGGTGAACTGCACTGGCTGGCGTGTCGGCATCCTCGCTAGGCATGCTTCCTCAGTGCGAACATGTAAGGATCTCCATCTTTACATAAATGATGTCATAGTTCCCTTTTTCACTTCACTAGAAACTAAAATAGTACTTTCACAAGAGCTGCCGTGACAGGCAGACTGCACGCATTTGAAAACTGCAAATACGAATGAGAAAAGGAAACAAACAAAGCCAAGAGAATGAGTCTCGAGCATCCTCACCCACGGAGGAGCAGCTCTACCAGCCACACAGACTCAGAATGGAAGAGAGAAAGCACACAAACGAAGCCGATGTGCTTTCTCCTGAACTTTTGCAGGGCTCTGCCTATGCCTCCAGCCTTCCCTCTTCGTGGGCTGCCCTTTCTTACCACTTCCTGCTGCGTTCCTGCCTCCATGGTCTTTTTTTTTTTTAATTATTTTTTATTTATTTATTTATTTTTTTACAGGCAGAGTGGACAGTGAGAGAGAGAGACAGAGAGAAAGGTCTTCCTTTTGCCATTGGTTCACTCTCCAGTGGCCGCCGCAGCCAGCATGCTGCAGCCGGCGCACCACGCTGATCCGAAGGCAGGAGTCAGGTGCTTCTCCCGGTCTCCCATGGGGTGCAGGGCCCAAGCACTTGGGGCATCCTCCACTGCACTCCCGGGCCACAGCAGAGAGCTGGCCTGGAAGAGGGGCAACCAGGACAGACTCCGGCGCCCCAACCGGGACTAGAACCCAGGGTGCTGGCGCCACAGGCGGAGGATTAGCCTATTGAGCTGCGGTGCTGGCCTGCCTCCATGGTCTTCTAGGAGGGGTCTTCCAAAAGTTCATGGAAAATGTGTATTATGAAAAAAATTCTGTGTGAGTTTCAAAAATGTTTTGTGCCCATCCAAACCCAGCACCTGCAGACTACAAAAGAAATGGGAAGGAAGGGGGGCACCAGCGAAGCTTTTTAATGTTCACCAATCGAGGCCTCCTTCAAAAAGCTTTTAATGAAAAGTTCGAATTTCTGTTACATGTGAAAACTGAGGGGGACTCACTTGCCTCTTTATGTGAGATTCCCCCATCCCCCCACCATGATTCAAGCCATCCCCTGACACCTGGAGGGTCCACAGCTCTAACATGTAGGAGTTGAGAATAGAGAGGTACAGTGCTCTGTGGTTCCTGCTCTGTGCTTTAGGTCTCCCTGAAATATACACCCACAAGTTTATAGATAAGTAGAGGTGTCTTATGTCATCATCATCTTTTGATGTCTTGACACCTGAGGGTTAGAAGTCCAACCAAAACCTGGTAAAGTCTCTCGTGTGCCAGGAACTGGGATGTTCTTTCACACATTACTTAATTGTCACTTAACCCTTATACCAAAGCCAAATAATAGGTGTATTAAACTTCCTAGGGCTGCCATAATAGGTTAGTACAAATTATGGCTTCAAACATCAGGGATTTATTCTTTCATAATTCGGGACATCAGAAGTCTGAACTCAAGGCGCTAGGGCAGGCGTGGATGCTCCTGCAGGCTGAGAAGATTCTGTTCCACACCTCTCTGGTAGTTCCTGGTGCTGCCAGCAGTCCTTGGTGGTCCTTGCCTCGCAGATGCACCACCCATCCCTCCCTCCATCCTCCTCTGTGGCTTCTGTGTGTCTCTGTCCAAACGGCCTCTTCTCATAGGGACACCAGTCACAGCATCAAGGCTCCTCCTAATTCTCTCTCACCTCATCCTAACTTAATTACAAAGACCCTAGTTCCAAACAGATCATGGTCATAGGTACCTGAGTCAGGACTTTAACATATCCTTTAGGGGGATGCTAATTCAACACACAATAGTAGCTATCATCCTAGTCTTCATATTATAGATTGTAAACTGAGACTCAGAGAATAACTTACTCAAAGATACAGATTATAGATGGTATGATTCCATTTTCATCCACCTAGACCTAATTATCACCATTTACTGTGCCTCAGCTCATCATAGGCCTTCCTTTGGGTGCTTCGTTTCATTTCTCATTCCCCCTCAATTGCATACTTATCTCTATTCTACAAACGGAGCACAGGGAAAGTAGCTCACCCAGAGTTCAGAAGTGGCAGATCTGAGATTCATCCCAAAGTCCTGACCACTAGTAACCCCCAGGTCAAGTTAGCACAGTGTCTTTGGGAAGGCTCACCCCTCCTCACCCTGCATTCCCTGAGGATAACACATTCCTGGAGTCGTCCATCCTGCGCAGACTGCAGCTGTGACAATTCATCACTGAGGACACAGCACTGCGACCTGATGCCTCCCCATGGGCGATGCTCTGATGGCAAAGACCGAGAGCTCCCCTTCCTTCCAGCAGCCAAGCAAGAGTGGCACAAAAAAATCAGTGCACAAGTAAATCCCATGGAAGGGATGTTGATATGCTACAACTCATTACTTCGTTTGAGCATCACGTTTCTGTTTTACTAGATACTTTACCAGGAAGGAGCCTGTACTTCCAAGATGGGCAGAAAGCAAGTCTCAAACAAAGCTGCAGTGGGTACTCAGATGACCTCATTCTTCCTCAAAATAAAAAAAAATCAGTGCATTACTTCCTGGCAGTTGATGTGCACCCTTTGGTAGCATCAACGACGTGTAACACATACTCGCCAGTGCCTTCCAAATACAGCAGCCCTGAGCACAGGACCCTTCAAGCAATGCTCCACCCCTCCGTGTAGGGTGGATGAGAACCTGCACGTTGGAGCTGTCTTTGCCCCAGTCCTTTCTCAAACAGCTGTGGAGACAGGAAACTCGAATGCCAACTCCACCCCTAGCACATGCTCCCCAGGGGAACTAGGCCAGTTTCTTTCTTCTCTAATCCTCGGTTTCCTTGTCTGTAAAAGGGAAACACTAGACATCACCTCAGAAAGCGATGACAAAGTATATAAACATCCCACTCTGGCCCTTCATTCTTAACAGGGAATATGAGCTAAGGGTACAAATGAAACCATTTTTGAAATATGGTCATATTTATCCTATGTGCCTACCTTTCTATTGAAGAGACCTGATGGGACGGACAGGTGTTTGACTTGGCCTGGGTTTGAATCCCAGCTCCGCTTCTAAGTCCATCTTCCTGCTACTGTGTCCCTTGGGAAGCAGTGGTGATGTCTCAAGTGGTTGAGTCCCTGCCACTCATGAGAGACCTGGATTGAATTCCTTGTCCCCAGACATTTGGGGAGTGACGCAACACATGAGGACTGTCTGCCTCTCACATCAAATGAATGAGACCCAGCTTAGATAATGAATGGGATGAGAGGTCAAGTGACAGAATTAAAAGACACCAGACCAATAGAAGACACTGACTCATTCATGTGATCAATATTCCCCATCTGAATAAGCACACATGCACACACACACACACACACACACAGACGGTGGGTGGGAGGGTTTTGAGACAACCTGTATGTAACAATTTATTGCATACCCGTGTTGCTTGTGAAGCTCATTTAGAGTAGGCATGGTGCATGTGTGAGCCTTGGGGAAAATGGCATCCAAGCCCTAACCTGAGAACTGCTCTTCCTCCAGACATGCCAAGAAGATACCCGGTACCCGGGTCCCTCTCTCTCAAGGCAGAGGAAGCACTTAGGAGGTAGAAGCAAGAGAAAATAGGCTCACATATCTCAAAAAGCGTATAAACACAAATATAAGAAACATTAAGAAAAAGAAATTCAGAAAGGTTTTGTGATTCACCTATCCTTATCAATGGCTGTGATGTTAGTGTTCTTATGAGAATCACATTGTTAAGATATTTCCCACCAGCTTAGGTAAGTCTGAAAAGACATTATGTTCAGTTTTACATCTGTGAAGTAAGAAAGATACTAAAGGGTCCCTTAGCATAGAAGAGCATGGAATAGACGACAAACTCCTACCACTTGGTTAGTGCCAGCTCAAAGAGTGCCATCTATAGGCAACTGCCTTAAACTGCACCTCAACTGCATCTACTTGCACAGCTAAGCAACATAAATAAATATAAGTATTGAAGTCATATGTCCTCTCAATACAAACCCTGGGATGAATAAAATGTCTCAGATCAAAATAATTACAAAATTGCGTTTGAATAGAAATCTGTTTCTTCAGAGAAAAAAAGCCTGAGCACACAGATTTTTTATTGCATTTTTGTTCATTGACTCTATAAATCAGTTTTACCAAACAAGCTTTAAAGGAAGAGGACGTTCAGTAATTAATCTTGTCAGTTTTAACTAATTTAAAAAGCTCCAAGGTCATCTAAATATAACTATTAAAATCCAACTTAAGATGTATACAAAAACTCTTTACAAAACCCAGTAGCAGCAAAAGTATCAAACATTTGTAAACAAAACCACTAGTTACAACCCTTTGCCAAATAACAAAGAATCTGTCTTTTAAAACATTATACATATATACACATATACAAGAAAGTGAATATTGACCATGATTTTTCATACTATACAACGTGTGACATCTAAAACAATGTTACCAAAAACAGACACAAATCAGTGGTATCATAAGGCCTGTTGAAGTCTTTTTTCGCAGTACCCAGGGCTGTTACGGTGCTGCAGAGGGTAAGTTTTCCAAAAGTCTTCTCCTAGCTGTGATCCTGGCACACCGGGGGCACTGGGAGGCCTGGAAGCACTGCTTGTGGAAACACGCCCTGCACACTGCAAGCAAGGAAGACGGACATCAGCCAAGGCAGGCTCCCGCTTGCCCGCACAGGTACCACTGCTCAGCTCCAACCTGCGGAGGGAGCGGGTCTCAGTGCAGACCCTGGAGTCTTCCACAGGGAAGTTGGGGGCAGGTGTTTGAGGCAGTGGTTTGGTTGCCATTTGGGACACCGTTCCATATTGGGGGCCCTGGGTTTGAGTCCCAGTTCTGCTTTTGATTGATCTTTCTGCTACTGGGCACCCTGGGAGGCAGCAGGTGATGGCTGAAGTCATTGTGTCCCTGCCACCTACATAAGAGACCAATATGGAGTTCCGGGCTCCTGGCCCAGCCCAGCTGTTGTAGACATTTGAGGTAGACCTAGGGGATGGAAGAATCTCTCTCTCTCTCTCTCTCTCTCTCTCTCTCTCTCTCTCTCACGAAATCAGCCAGGTTGAAACTCCCGGGGATCATAACTGACCTCGCAGGCAAGAACATGAGGCTGAAAGAGCCTGAAGCAGCAGATGCCATGGTGCCCCCAGCCCTGCAGCACACGGTCCCCCAGCTGCTGAGAGAGTCATGGCTGACAGCTCTTAGGAAGGGGCACTGCTTTCTCTGCAAATGGCCCTAAGTGGAGGGAGATTCCCCAGCCAGGTCAGGCTTCCTCCCGGCACCAGCTTGCACCCAGTGACAGGTCACCACGGAGTTTAAAGGCCTCTCCAGCCCTCTGTCGCCACTTTGGTGCAATGTTGACTGGGCTCCCCAGGGAGGTGGGCTGAGGGTTTCCCTGCAACCTGACCACAGCTGGACTTCATCATTAGGTGGTGAGCCTAGACCCCGCCCCAGTGAACATTCTTAATGGAAATCCCTGGCCCGGAGTCTCCCTGCTAGGGAACCGCCCTGAAGTGCTCCCTAAAGGGTTCGAGGAGATCACAATGGAATGGCCCAAAAGGAGAGCACACATCAGGGGTGAAGGCAGAATCCATTACTAGGATCTCTCCCATGAAACAGTCAAGAGAGCAAGGGGTCCCCTTGGCCACGGATACCATAGGACAGGGGTCGTTTTCTGTACAGAACCAGACAGGAAATGACTCGGGCCTTGCAGGCCGCATGGCCTCATGCAACTCTGCCATGGTGATGCAGAGGCAGCCAGAGGCAGCACATGCAGTGCTGGGTGTGGCCGTGACCTGGTGACAAAGCAGCACAAGGATGGGTCCCTCTGCTCTCTTGAATACTGTCCCAGGACACATTGGCTCTTAACCCTGCCCCATCCTGTGTGCTGAAAGATACCTGAACATCTTCTGCACGTCGTGGTCTGAAATGGGAAGATGACAGTCGTGCTCCGGCAAAACTCACAGATGAAGCCCTTGCCCTGGCACAGCTGTAAAAGAGGGCACGCAAACGTGACACAGGTGCAGTCCGCGGGGTGACTGCTTCTCTTGAGGGAGAAGCGGAGCTGCCCCCTCTGCAGAACTTCATCATCTCGGGGTTGGAATGGCTGCGATTCCAGCCTTCAGAAGGACAAGGATGTTGGAATACAGCAGTGCATGGATCTGAGCGACAAAACCCTGCAGTTCATCCGCTTCACACACAGGCAGATCATGATTTTAAACACGTGGCTCTTTACTTTCATACTGTGTGTGTGTGTGTGTGTGTTTAATTGAAGAGGGAGAGGGTACAGGGAAAGAGACGGGAAAGAGGGCTCCCCAATCTGGTGGTTCACTCCCCAAGTGCTTACCATGGTTGGGGCTAAGCCAGTCTGAATTGAGGAGCTGGGAATTGAACCCAGGTCTCCCATGCAAGTGGCAGGAACCCAATTACTTGAGCCACCTAGGAAGCTGGAGCCGTGAGCTGAACCCAGGCACTCTGATGTGGAAAGCAAGCGTCTTAACTAAGGCTGTGTAACTGCTAAGCCAAACGCCCACTCCTAAACATTCATTCTCAAATGATCTGATTTGATCTCTGATTGCTGCACTGAAATGCTTCAGTTCACAGACAAGAGCTTTCTGTTCCACTGAACCCTGTGTCCACGGGGCTGTATTGGGCACTTCAGGGCAGAGTGGCCCCCAAGTGGGGCTGGACCCCCAGACTGGGGAGGCAGTAGGCTCCAGCTTGCGTCCCAGCTCTGTCCCCTACTGGAAACATGAACTTGGCTCATGACTGCACAGCTTGAACCTCAGTTGTCTTATCTGTAGTGTCACCAGCGCTTCAGCATCTGTGAGGGCTACATGAGGTCAAGGCCAGCACAGGCCTTGGCACATGAGGGGATAGCTCGGGACACAGGTGCTCCAGGCAAGCCCTCACCTCGCAGCTGGCCACGTGCGTGAGGGCAGCTCTCAGAAGTTCCTTGAGTGAGGGTGCCAGCAGCCCCTTCTTGATCCTGACCAGGTCCTCTAGGGAGAACAGGTGGAGCTCCTCAGTCAGGTGTCTGGGAACCTGCTCAAACTCCTTTAATGTGCTGCCAGGGAGGAAACAGAGGAAGTCACAAACCACCCACACACAGGCCGGGGCAGAATGAGGCCAGCTGTTTTCCCTGGCACTCAAACAACATTTTTTTTTTTAAACTCAATTGAAAAAAATTAGCCTGAGAACAACACTGAGCCTTGCTCATCAATCTATTTTGTGCAAGTTTGCGAGGAAGTTAAAATTCCATGCCAGCTGATTTCAAAAACTGTGGGCTACGCATGCACACATCGAGCAAAACCAAAACTTAATATTTGCTTCTTAGATCTTAAAAAATTTGTACCATGTAGTGCTTGACAGCCAAGAACTGCAACTCAAAATTCCTATATTCTTCCCAGCTAAATCCCCAGCCAATCAGCATCAGTGACTGCTGTCTAAGCTGGCAGGAGAATTACTGTTCATGGGCAGGTGTGACTCCCACATCCACCGAGTCCAGCACTGAGCTTCAGACTCTCGAATCCAACTTCCAGGGGTCAAGGTCACTTGGCTGTCCCAAGGGCATTTGAAACTTCCTGTTCCCCACACCTCCTGAGTTCCTGTAATTGGTTACCTGCAGTTCCATTTACCGCATTCCCAAGCCACACTGACCTTGGCACACTAGCAGTGCCACCAGCCTGGTGGCACGTTGCCTCCACTGCTGCTTGTTCCCTCTAACTTGCCCTCCATGCTTAGACTTGTTCTCAGAAGCCTTGCTTGCTCTCCACCTGACCCGGCCTGTAACTGAGCTCAGGGCCATTGCGGCTGCATCTTCCACGCGTCTGACCCCCAGCTGGGCCATCGTCTGTTTGAGTCGCCCTTCCCCTGGACTTAACATAGGTCTCCTGATTATTTATCTCAAGCACAGAATGGGTATTCAGGGAATTTTTTATAGAATTGTGGGTATTGTTACACGTTATGAGAAGACAGGGGCCCTGAAAGGTATTAGCCTGTCACACCAATGCCATGAGTTGAGGTTCAAGGTCAAGTGACTATGGAATGCAAACTCCTTCCCAAAAAGTCCAATAATGAAATATTATAAGAAAGGTGCTCCAAACCTCAATCATAAAGTATTAGCAAAGAAAGGGCAATGTTGCTTACTCTGATTTGATCAGTACCTAGCATGTTCTTATGTTGAAATGTTACAAAGTAGCCCATAAGCATATGGCAATTATTGTGAATACAATTTTATAAAGATCACAAACTGAGAAAGCTTTCAAAACAAAACCTTTTTTGGAAAAAAACTTATATGACCCCATGTACTAAACAAATAATTTTAACCTTTTTGAGTAACATATTCATATTCTTTTTCTACTTAAAAATCTGTCAATGGGCCGGTGCCGTGGCTCACTAGGCTAATCCTCCGCCTAGCGGCGCCGGCACACCGGGTTCTAGTCCCAGTCGGGGCACCGGATTCTGTCCTGGTTGCCCTTCTTCCAGGCCAGCTCTCTGCTGTGGCCAGGGAGTGCAGTGGATGATGGCCCAACTGCTTGGGCCCTGCACCCCACGGGAGACCAGGAGAAGCACCTGGCTCCTGCCATCGGATCAGCGCGGTGCGCTGGCCGCAGCGCGCTGGCCGTGGCAGCCATTGGAGGGTGAACCAACGGCAAAAGGAAGACGTTTCTCTCTGTTTCTCTCTCTCTCACTGTCCACTCTGCCTGTCAAAAAAAATACATAAAAAAAATCTGTCAATAAATTCATGCCTAAAACTTTATTGACTGTATGGTATTCTATACTATGGTATTAAGAGCTGTCTTATTACTGAACTCCTAGTAGACTTTTTAACATCTTTTCTACCAATCAACTAACTCTGTCCACTGCTATGGGCATAGCCTTAGGATAAACTTCTAGAAATAGAATTTCTGGAGGCCATGGTCTTACCTACTTTGATATGCCTCTCCATAAGGGGATTTTAAAAGACTACTGGTATACCCAGGTTCATGGTAGCATCACTCATAGTAACCAAGTGTGGAATGAACCCAACTGTCCATCCACAAGTGAGTGGATCAACAAAATATGCTATATACATACAATGGAATATGAAAAGGTAGGAAATTTTGACATGTGTTGGACGAACCTTAAGGATATTATATGTGTAAAACAAGGCACTTGCAAAAAGACAAATACTGCATGATTCCACCTATAAGAGGCACTTAGAGTAATCAAATTCATAGAGATGAACAGGAGCTTGTGGTTGCCAGGGGTGAGGGGAGGAGGGAATGGGGGGAGTGGATGTTAAATGGCTCTGGAGTTTTAGTTTGGCAAGATGAAATGAGTTCTGGGGCTGAGTGTTAGCTGCACAACATGAACCTACCTGATACCCCGAAGTGTACACTTGAAATGGTCAGGATGGTAAATTTCCTGTTATGTGTATTCCTCACAACTTATTACTCATAATAATCATAAGAAGCCACTGGCTAGCATCGTTCACCTTTGTACGGGCCCACTTACCTTAACAAGTTAAATTCTGCCCTCGTGATTTAAGGGTTAGTAATTTTAGAGATGCTCTGCATCCCCAGGGTCACTAATAGGGCAGCTGGACTAGGAGGCACTCAGGGGACCGGCAGGCATGTGGGGGATGGGCAGACTGCCCTAGCCGAGAATCGTACCTGTGCGCAAACCTGCAAGTCTTCAACAGCTTCTTGATATGAAAAAGCTGCTCCCGGATTTCCTAGGGTGGAGAAGCAAGCAGGAGAAAAAGTTAAATGTGATCAACAACATCAGGGATGTGTCTGTTGAATTTAAATGATTCTGCCACTCTTGAAGTGTCACTCCTGAATGGAACAAACCTCTAAGGCTAACAGCCTATGCAGCAGGGGTTCATAACAGAAGGCCCTGAGTAGATCCAGATGTGGGGGAGCCTGGAGTTTATGCAACTTTGGGGGCTTTCACTAAGAATTACCCAGAGCTATGCACAAACATAAAACCCACCAGGGGGCTTGGAAAGAGCAGGCCAGGTACCCCCACAGCTTCAGCTTCGCTGTTTTCCTGGTCCCTCTACCTCTTGGAGGGTTTGTCTGTAGATGCCCCTAAACTAGAGGGTGTGGGTTTCCTGCCGTGGGACACGCCTAGACCCTTGGCCTTGCCTCTTCCAGAGGGAGACGCTCACCTTCACCCTCTCCAGTTCCTTGGCCTTGGCATAGAGGCTTTGACTGATGCTCAGCAAATTGAAAATCGGCTGGGGCCATATGCTGTCGAGCAGCCGTTTGGAGAAGTTGCTGACGTAGTACTTCTTGAAGTCCCACATCATCAGGATCCGGGCGGGGATACAGGACTCGGCATGGGAGTGGCAACAGTCACAGAAATACTTCCCCAGATACTCGCAGTACCGGAGCCGCTTCACGAACTCTGCCAAGTACACAGGTGGTGCTTAGTACTTAATACCAAGCACACAGTATGGCGCTTATCTGATGCTGAAAACCAACCCTGGTCTGCACCCCCACCCTCGAATCTTACATAAGGTTCAATGACTCTTCATGATAAAGCCATGGTCGACCTCATGACAGCTGGGAAAGCTCTGGCAGGGACTCAGGGACTTAAATCATGGCCATTTATGAGCTTTGCCTTGGTGGAACAAATATTGGAAAATATATAATTCTACCAAGTACTCCTGGATTTGGAAGACGGGCATCATAAACTGCAGTGTTGCAAAAATAGCACTTGACTTAGAGCCAGAAAATCTGGCTGGGAGTTCAGAATCCACATCCTGTGAGCAGGAAGACTAGGGGCAGGTGGGAATCTCTTCAGGCTAACTGCCCTGAGACCATACAACTCACATCAGAAATGGAGTAGGGGATATCACACAGATGGAAAGAACTTTGTGAGTTACGAGACAATCCACATACAACATTGGGAAGTAGCGTCCACAAGAGTTGCTTGATAAATTAGTAAGAGAAACAAAAATGCACAAAGGGTGGGAACAGGCAATGCATGCAAGGAAGAAATGCAAATAACCAAGGGTGAGATAAAAAAACTCAATCTCAGTAACAAAGAATCACATTAAAACAGTGAGATCCTCTGTCCTGCCCTGACTGTCTCACATTTAGAAGATCCAGAGCTGTAGAGGGATAGAAAGAGGTGCTCCCTCTCTGAGGAGGAGGCCTTCTGTGATGGCTTCAGTTCTTACATGGGCAGCAGTAATTCTACTTCTGCGACTGTCAGAAACGCTAACAGGCACATGCAGAGAGACACAGAAAGGTGTTCATTACAGGCCACTAAAAATGGGGGGAGTTACCAAAAGTCCATCAAAAGACAACCAGTTAAATAAGTAGTGTGCTGCACATGCAATGCTGTGCAGCCCAGAAGGTACACAGGAGAACAGAGAAATGGGTCATCCAGTTGTAGGTATGTATAAAGGGACCTCAGCTTTGCTTTTGTTTAAAAAAAAAAATACATACATACAGTCCAGATCTCCACCAGAAAGCCAACAGTAAATATCACAAGAGGATGGGAAAAAAAGGGATTTTTGCTATTTACATTTTTTAATTTGCTGAAATGGACATGCACAATATTTGGAACTCTCTCCAGTAAAGTAGACGGACAAACAAAAAGCACAGAGCCTAATGCAGCAAACACCTGTCCACTCACCACCCTGCTCAAGAAAGGAAACCAATCAGCTGAAGGCTTCTCTGTGCCTGCCCCTCAATGCTAGGGTCTCACATGTACCAACTTTGATGTTTCTCATTCATCACTTGACTTTTGTGTCTCTTTATGATTCAAATTTCATACAGCATAATACAAACATTACTTGACATATATTGTGAGGATTAATGAAACAAAGTATGGTAGAGATGCTACTACAATACCTAACATACAATAGATTCTAATTATAGTTTCCAGATAATGGCTTTAAAAATAAACAAGGCCCGAGTGACTGGGTAGCAAATCTTTATTGCACATTTATTCTGTGTGACACACTGCCTAATGTTTTATGTATTATTTTGCACTTGAGCACCTGCAAGGTGGGGGCTACTATTCTCCCTGTCTCACTGATGAAAACACATGAAAGTGAAGTCAAAAACCATGCCAGGACACACAATAGTACGTAGGCAAGCAGGACCCCAGCCTAACCCTGGGCTACTGATGTGCAGGCATTTAGCCAACATATTACACACCTCCTCTGCTGCAGCCAACAGGAGGGAGAGAGCAGTTGAAGCCTCTGCACTTGCCCAAATTATCCCTGCATCCCAGGTCACGGAGTTGATTTGTTAAACCAAACAAATCGATAAAGTTGACTCTCACTGTTTGTGGTCGTTCTATTCTGCAAAAGCTTCATGAACCCTGAATTAGCCAACACCGAACCATTGTTCCTGGAGGAAGCACAGGGTTAGTTGGGGTCCTGCGATTCTCTAGGAGCAGCGCTTTTGTCACGTGGCTGACATATGACCTGGCTCTACATGTGCTTCTGTTTAAAGACAGCTTCTTTAACCCAGCTTCGACTCTGTACCAACGCCACTGTAACTCACTCCTGAATGACGCTTACGTCACGCACACATTCTCTCTGTAAGGCATGCCACTTCTTCTGTGCTCGGGAACACAAGGGGGCACTTCAGCACTATGCTAGGGGTCCATCTTAAACCATGCAGTCACCTGCAAAATGCACAAAATTCCCAAAAAACAAGCACAGAATCAATCACATGCACCAGCCCCTGCATACATTCCTCATCAAATTTGGCAAGACAGAAGAGAAAGGAAGACAGATGGGGCCATGAACTTCCAAATTATTTTTTCTCAGCATCTAAAACTCCATCATGTCAATATCAACTTCTTCATCAAACTTAATTGAATACATACTAAGTGGGAAAGAATCTGTACAAAATAAATCATATCCATCGCCTTTGGTTTTCTAAATCCTTGCATGAAAATAGAACAAAACAAAGCATCCTAAACTAGCGGTCCTCTGGCCGGGGGTTATTTTGTCCCTTGTGGGACATCTGGAGATGCCTGGAGACATCTGTAGTTGTCACTGCCGGGAGGCTGCTCCTGGCATCTAGTGTGCTGCAAAACACCCTGCGACGCAGGACACGCCCCACCGCAAAGTCAGCAGCACCCAAGTTGCAAAATCCAGCTCTAAACCCTAAGTGCTCTCAATCTCATGAGAAGTCAATGACATGGGAAAACACAGGAGGGAAGTGTTCTGGAACAGGGCTGTGCCATATAACTTTTGAAAGGATTGAGGGGCCGGTGCTGTGGCGTAGTGGGTAAAGCCGCCACCTGCAGTGCTGGCATCCCATATGAGCGACGGTTCGAGACCCAGCTGCTCCATTTCCAATCCAGCTCTCTGCTGTGGCCTGAGAAAGCAGTAGAAGATGGCCCAAGTCCTTGGGCCCCTGCACCCACGCAGGAGACCCAGAAGAAGCTCCTGACTTCAGATCAGCACAGCTCTGGCCGTTGCGGCCATATGGAGAGTGAACCATCAGATGGAAAACTTCTCTTTTTCTCTCTCTGCCTCTCCTCTCTCTGTGTAATTCTGACTTTTTTTTTAAAAAATATAAAAAAAAGATTGGAAATGTTCTATATCTATGCTGTCCAAAATACTTGAAATGTAGCTAGCATAAGTAAAGAACTAAATATTTTATTTTGATTAATATACAATTAATTTGAAACAGCCATATAGTCTACTGGCTACTGTATTGGGTAGCAGAGTTCTAGACTAAAGCTAACTAACTGTACAGAGGCTGGCAATGTGGCGTAGCAGGTAAAGCCACTGCCTGCAGCACCAGCATCCCATAAGGGTGCCAGTTTGTTTCTCGGCTGCTTCACTTCCAATCCAGTTCCCTGCTAATGCGACTGGGAAAGCAGTGGAAGATGGCCCAAGTCCTTGGGCCCCTGCACCCACATTGGAGCTTCGGAAGCTCCTGCCTTCTGGCTTTGGCCTGGCCCAGTCTTGACTATTGCAGCCATTTGGGGAGTGAACCAGCAAGTGGAAGATTGATGTCTCTCTCTCTGCCTCTCCTTCAGTGTAACTCCCTCAAATAAATAATCTTTAAAATAAAAGCTAATTATACACAAAGAATAACCAAATGCAATATATAAAACTTGATTGGAACCTGGATGACAAATTAACCATAAGTGATATCTTTAATCCAAAAAGTGAAAGTGGACCAGCAGTAGACAATATTAAGGAACTGCTAATTTTTGTGGTGTGATAACTGTTTATCATCCTTAGTTTTAGGACATGAAGAAATATCAGTGAAAAACCTGGTGAAATGTGAATAAACTATGTGATAGGATTTTATCAGTCCTAATTTCTCAGCTGTAACCATTATTCTATGCTTACACAAGATGTTGGCATGAAGGGAAGCTGGGTAAAGGGGATACAGGAACTAAATTTAACTAAATTTAAATTTAAAATTGTAACTAAATTTAAAATTATCTCTAAAATATATTTTGAAAGTTATGATAAGAGTTAGAAGTTTACAGCAAAAACTCCAAATTGTTTCCATGGTGACTAATGACACCCACCCTCTCTGTTCTGCCTACAGGTTTTGTCCTTGCATTTCCACTTGCAAGTCATGCAAGGCTTCTGCTCAATTGCCACAGGCCCTTGGCACATGAAGAATATGCTCCTCTCCTGGAGACAGCCATTTCCTTACAAAACCTCTCATCCACAGCCCAGATTAAGTTCTCCACTGTAAACCCCATAGCACTTTCGCCTTTCTCTTTTGTTGCATGCATCACCCTTGTCATGTACTTAGGGGGCTGACGTTTGTTGTCGCTCCTACAAGATGGTAAGCAAGCTCCGTGAGAGCAGGACCATGGCTGTAAGATTCACAGCTGGACCGAGAGTGCACACACTCATCTCTGTGTCTCGACAAACTCAGGGCAGCACTTACACTGGTTGGAATCACAGCCATGTGTCTATAGTTTCTGACTCACACATTCGAGATTTACTGAGGCATCAAGATACAGCTGTTGACTAACAGACAGGGTCCTTCCTAGACTAGGAAGAGGACTCAATTAAAAATAAAACTAGTTACAGCTGTGGTGCTGTCAGGCCGGATCAGGCAACGTAGCAGAGGAAGCACAGATGTATTTCTGCTCTCGATTTTTATTTCTAGAAGCTGAGCACATCGAAGTCTTTTTCTTTCAGAGAACGGCTACCGCAGGCCAAGGAAACGCTTCCCACCTAAGCTCCTCTCTGCAGCCTTCTGCAGGTTGGACACAGACAGCTCACTGCACAGCCAGTGATTCCCAGCCTCAAGTGGAAACCTTGCGTTTCCGACTGGGGGAGTCTTAATTTTCAAGGTCTCGTTGGCCCAAGCAGGGTCCCATGAAGCCACCTGCTGTCTCTCTCGGACACATGTGGCCAGCTCCTCGCTTAGCCATTCATCCACCCCACAAATACCTTTTGAGAACCAACTCTGTGTCAAGGACTCATACAATAGAAGCTGAGGATAAAATATTAACAAAACATCCTGTCTGCCTCACAGAAGTGATAATCTAGTGATGGAGGCAGACAACGGTAGCATGCATTCATAGAATATAGAAGAGTGTTCCAAGAAGAAGGTGCAAGGAATAAAACACACAAAGCATGGGTAATACAAAGTGCGGATATCACGCTGGCCAGCCAAGCAGCACGGTGGGCATTTTCAGGAAAAGACCTCATGACTTTGGAGTGAAGATGGGAAGGAGGCAAAGGACCCAGCCCTGGCGATGTCTGCAGGGAGCACACTGGGAGAGGGAAAATCACAAATGCAAGGAGCGAGCCAGCACCTCCTAGAACCTGCAGGGAGGCTGTGCGGCTGGGGCTGAATGCCCAACAGGGATGGAAGTGGCAGGCTGTTTTTCTTGCTTCCTGATTGGTCATACAGCCTTGTGGACCATGATGGGCTCTTCGTGAAAGAGAGGGCAACTTCCAGAAGGTGCTGAGAACACCTCATCAAAGGCATCTCACAGAAACCACGTGCTGCCCACCTCCGTTATTCTGCACACATCATGGCATGGTAAGCAGGCAATCCACTGTTCATACTTACTCGGCTCCACTGGAGTGCCACAGCCGGCACAGAAGAAATTCTGGGCTGCTACCACCAGGTCCCTCCTGAGCACAGAAAATGGTAACAATGCTTACATCTCAGAGAAGCCAATGGAACATTTACCCCATACTGGAAAAGAAATCGCCATAGTGATGCTTTTCTTGGCTCAGAGCCTCTATTTGAATCATTTCATTTTTCATTTGGGAAAAAAAATTATGTTGACCCCATACAATTTTCCAGTTGAAACCTCTGGGTCTTTGTAGAACTTTCTAGAATTCTTTAAAAGCTTGATATCCCCAAATGAAAGACGGTATCACAAACAGCTCCTCCATCTTACTGCCCATGCACGGAGTCCCATCTCTAGAAAAAACTGGAGACTTATAACAGAGGACAATTCAGGGAGACCAATAGATGATGTGCTTGGGAGGTCCACAAACTGATCCAAAGAAACTGAGGCAAGTAAGAGGCACTGTGAAACCAGGCAGTCAACAGTTCCAGTGGGAGATACTCCACTGAAATGTTTTTACTGAGCTGCAGTGCCGTGAATTTACATGTGATTTGTAAATATGGAGAAAGTTGTAAAATTTAAATACGGTTCAGGGTCAGCAAAAGTGGCCTAGGTAAAAATATGCTAAATCTCAGCTCATGTACCTTAGAGAGGCCCTGGAGATACCCCATGCTAATGGAAGTGACGCCCCCCACACCCCCACCCCAGTAAATGTCTAGAGAGGGAACTCTTGTTCTCAAGCAACCCCAGAGACCTTCTGCAAATGAAAAAGACCAAAAGATATCAGGGTCCTCCACGGGAAACAGCGAGCCAGCCCTCACCAGTCCCCTCCCTGCAGCTTGCAGGCCAAATTAAATACAAACCAAGAGGAAAGGAAGGGTTGTCTTGGGTTAAAACTTTTTGTCAGAGACGGCGCTGTGGGGTAGTAAGCCAAGCTGCCGCCAGCAGCACAGGCAGCCCATATGGGTGCTGGTTCGTGTCCTGGCTACTCCTCTTCCGACCCAGCTCTAGGCTATGGCCTGGGAAGGCAGTAGATGGCCTGGGGCAGGTTAACACCCTGGCCTGAAGCGCCGCCGTGCCATGTGGGTGCCGGTTTCCCCTGCACTCTCCTGGGAGTCCAGGAGGAAGCTCCTGGCTCCTGGCTTCAGATTGGTGCAGCTACGGCTGTTGCGGCCATTTGGGGAGTGAACCAAACTCTCTCTCTTTCTCTCTCTCTCTCTCTCTGCCTCTCCTCTCTCTGTGTAACTCTGACTTTCAAATAAATAAATAAATAAATAAATCTTAAAAAGAAAAAAGAAGATGGCCCAAGTTTTTGGGCCCCTGCATCTGTGTGGGAGACCTGGAAGAAGCTCCTGGCTCCTGGCTTCAGATCATCCACCCAGCTCCAGGCATTGCAGCCATTTGTGGAGTGAACCAACAGATGGATAGACCTTTCTCTCTGGCTTCCTCTCTCTCACTGTCTATAATTCTACCTTTTGAATAAACAAATTAAAAAAACCCTTTTTGTCTATAATCCTCATCATATACACTCAGAACAAATATAACTGAAATGCTAGTTTAAATACACATGGAGAAATAAACACACATGAGGATACTTCAAAAGGTTTGTGGAAAATGTTTTGTGACAAGATGATGCAAGGAATTTTAAAATTTTCTTGTATGAAAATAAATCTACCTTAAAAAAAACCATGTATTTATTTATTTGGAAGGCAGAGTGACAGAGAGAAAGGGGGAGATCTTCCAGCCACTGATTCACTCCCCAAATGCCCACACCATCTATGGCTGGGCCAGGTCAAAGCCGGGAGCCAAGAGCTCCATCCAGGTCTCCCATGTGGATGGCAGGGTCTCAAGGTCTTGAGTACCCATGGCCTCCAGGGATGTGCCTTAGCTGAAAGCTGGAACTTGAAGCAGACCCCTCAGTGCAGGTAGCAGGTGCTTAATCACTGCCCCAACACCCACCTTGAAGTTCCTTTGAACTCAACCTGCCGTGGTCTTTTTGAAGACACACACAGATCAACAGCTAGATCCTTCTTGTGTGTGTGCCATCTTAGCTATTTGTCTTTCAGAACTTTCAGGATTTTCAGTTGCATGTAATATTCATACTTAGGGATGCAGAAATACATTCCCGACTTGGTAAAACTACACAGTCCCTAAAAGCCCACGAATAAACAAGGTGGCAAGAAAGCTGGGCCAGAAAAATGTGCCCCGTATTCCTTTTCCTAAAATGAATTTTCATGTGTCGCTCAGCGGATTTTTTTCCTTCTCTTACCTCCTTAAAGAGTCAGGTAGGACCCGTCACAACCTGTTTGAGAAGAATTGGAGGCCCACACAGGGCCCACACTTACTTGAGTGGTGGATGAACGTTAAATATGATTTGAAATCTAGGCGGGGCCCAGTCTTCAATCCCTCGGATCCTAGACTTAAGTTTAATTTCCTCGACTATATCCACACTGGCTTCAAAGTCTTGTCGAACACGATCTTCATTTACCACCTGAACAACACATCAGAGGATTCAGGAACAAGTTAAATGAGCATTTTCCAAGAAGTTAGATGAAAAGAACATTCAAATGTGTTTCCCACATGAACATATACTGTGAAAATTACAACTGCTTCCAATTGAACCAAAAGCCATGGCAAGAGCCCGCCTCATCCCTAAAGCCATCTGCCCAAGAGCGGCTTCCAGCACCACCCAGCGGGATTGCTCGTCTTAGTATTTTTGGTTCATTTGCTTCCAGACTCCACTTTCCATGAGTAGGTCCTTTGGAGCCGGATTTCAGGTTGGCTAGCCTTTATTTGAAAGGCTGGGGAGCAGAAGTGTTTTGGATTTTTTTCAGCTTTTGGAATATCTGCATAGGTTTTACTGGCTGATCATCCCTAATCTGAAAATCTGCACTCTGCAATCTTCCAAAAGTCACAACGTTGTGAACCCATCTGAACTTTCATGAGCAGCAGAAGCCTCAGCCTTAGTCAACAGATTGACATGCGCCAGGGCCAACCCTGTTGTGCCTCTTCCCCAGAAGCAGCTCTGTTAGGAACACTGTCCTGCTTATAAATACACAGGTGGCTCCCCTCTGATCCATACCACTTTCCTATTTTCATTTAAAACCCAAACTCACCAAATTAGCATTCCACAGCCTCTACAAATCGGAAACTACCATTCAAGCCTTATTTCCATGAAGATCAACACCCCCCCCCCACTCCTAGACACACACACGCACACAAACAATCCAGCGCCAGAGTCATTCTGCCCCCTACGTCTACCTGCTACAGTGCTGCCCACCCCAAGAGTTGGCTCAAGTCTAGAGATTTCCAGTCAGCCTTTCCATGTTCCCCTGGTAAAATCAAACACTCCCTTCCTTGCTCTTCCAGACTGCTTTTTTCCTTTCTCGTTGTCACAGAAAGACTGCGTGCTCTCAGAGAGCAGAATGGCCTACAAGGGAACCTGCGTGTATTTCAAGTCAGGCAGTCCACATGGACCCGTCCTGCTGAGGGCTTGGGTCCACCACTTTAAAATAAAAATACCAGGGCCAGCGCTGTGGCATAGCAGGTAAAGCCATCACCTGCAGTGCCGGCATCCCATATGGGCACTGTCTCGAGTCCCGGCTGCTCCACTTCCAATCCAGCTCTATGCTATGGCCTGGGAAAGCAGTGGGAGATGGCCCAACTCCTTGGGCCCCTGCACCCGCGTGGAAACCTAGGAGAAGCTCCTGGCTCCTTGCTTTGGATAGGCGCAGCTCCAGCCGTTGTGGCCATCTGAGGAGTGAACCAGCGGATGGAAGACCTCTCTTTCTCTCTCTGCCTCTCCTCTCTCTCTCTGTAACTCTGACTTTCAAATAAATAAATCTAAAAAAAAAAAAAAAAAAATACCAGTGGCATCCACCTAACAGCATACATCTGAGGATGACAGTGAGGACTGCTTAGCACAGCCCTGGGACCATAACCAGCACTCTCTGCCTGCCAGTTTTGTCATTTGGGTTGTCTCCTCCAACCCACAGCGACCATAGAGCAAACATGAGTTTGAGCTAAATGGGCCAGGCAAAATTAGCAATTTTAGACTCAAGCTCTTTTGAGACTTACTATGGAGCCGGCTGCATTCAGGGAATCTGCAAGCTGATAATTAGCCACCGACAACATCCAGCACTTCCGGAACACTTGGTACAACTCCTTGGCTAACCGTTCGGCAGAATTGAAGCCTGGCTCATAAGTGAAGCTGAAATGTAAGAGATGCAAAAACTGGACATGGAGACTCATGAAAAGTATGTTTGGGGTCTTCCTGGGCTGTTCTACTGTTCTTCCCACCCCCCAAGTCAGAGGAGGTTGCTACTGTGTCAGACCCTCCCTCGCACACCAGATGTCCACTCCAAGTTCTCCATGCTCAGTTAATAGAGCCTTTTATTTATTACGGGTACTAACAGTTGGAGGTATAGTGAAAAGAGCACTAGAGTTGGAGCCAGGAGACCCGAGTTCAAGGCCTGCTTCTGACTCTAACAGCATTGTGACCTGAGACACATCTTTTACATGCCTTGGTTTCTATGTCCATAAATTGGAGTTCAAAAGGAGAGAGTGCAGGTGGGAGGGAGGGTAGGATGGGAAGAATCACTCTGTTCCTAAGTTTGTATATATGAAGTACTGGAAGTTTGTATACTTTAAATAAAATTTTAAATAGACAAAAAAAAAGTACATTTATATATCTAAACAGTTGTTCAGCCCTGTCCATGAGTGTGTACACAAAAGCCATTTATATGACATATATGCCATAGAAACTTTGGGGGTGATCATTCCTTTTCCAGGTGATAATCTCTATCACTGGAACTGGCTGAACTTGGCCAAGAATGTCAGAGGTGCAGTGTTCACAGGGCCACAGAGGAGACCGCCCAGGTGTCCATGAGCAGGTGTACTTGGAAGACAGATACCTCCTAGAGGAGCTGTAGGAACATCCACAGGTTTCTATGATGTCATTAAGCTCTCCAAGTTCTGTGGGAAGATAAAAGAAAGAGAAATGATGCCTTCCAGGCTGTTCCATTGAAACACAGTCAAGTTTAGAAAAAGAACACAAAGACAGCTCCCTGCTCCTCAGAAAGAACCAATGATTCAGTATCTTCATGCTTCGGTTTCTTTTGTGTTTGTATTATGAGACTACAGATAATGAACAAAGATGGGATTTCACCTGACATTTCACCAAAATTTAATTCAGAGGCCAAACAGGTATCAGACCATAATTGAATATCTGGTTTTTCATTCAATTCTACAAATGAGATGAGAGATTCTCTAGCAAGACATTTGAAATGAGAACAACGTGCTATTATTTTTAATCAGGGGCCTCTTCTGCTCTTGGGAGAAGATTCCTCCAATGCCACGATCATGAGCTATGGTGTGTGATGCATGGAAGTATGTGCACGGGGCAGGGAGCAAGTCGGTCACATCCAGCAAGTTTCCACATCTTACCTAAAATAACAAAGTCATCAAAGTCACATTTGCAGGCCTCTTTCACCACATCAGAGAAAGCAGGTGTTTCAGGCACTGGGCTGACCTGCAACACAGCACAGCCTGGAAAAAGAGGGGAAAGGAGTTTTCTCCAGCAAGAAGGAAAGAGACACGGCACAACCTACAGTGAAATCAGAGAACAGAAAGGACTGAGGAGTTACCCCACAAGAATCCTAGAGTCCAGCTTCAGGAATTAAACACTGCAAGAAGATATTGTGTTGTTTTTATGTCCTCTATGATTAAGTAAAACAGATTGATAAATATATAATTTATAATAATCATCTATCTACCTACATTTAGGTATATTTAAAATTTTCCCTATTACCAAGTTTTTTTTTTTTTAATGGAATGGGATAACAAACAACATTAGCTCACAGTAAAGCAAAGAGTACGAGGAAACATAGATATTGTACAGGGTTGAATAACATTCCCCCCAAATCCCTGCCAGCCCAGAGCCTGGGAGTGTGGCCTTCTAGGGAAATAAATTTTTTGCAGGTACAAATATAGAAAAACAATCTTTACTTTTGAGTTTCATTACTTTGGTTTGGAAGGAAGGGGGTTGTGAGGGAGTGATGGAGACAATAGTTCAGATGTGCTAAGCTGGAGGGCGACTGTGCCCACTTGTGTGCTGCAGGCATGATTCCACCAGTGATAGAGAAAATGGAGTGCTTTTAGCCACTTTAGGTTATAGGTCCTGGGGTCCAACCCATGGTCAAGCTCAGCAGGTCCTGGCCATATACAGATCAAACATTGAGAAGAGGGGTGCAGGCCCGCCAACAGCCTGGGGCGACATCAACTGGCAGGGAAGAACTAAAGATGTCTAGCGACTAAAACTGTCCAGGAAGCAAATATATAGGAAAACAGTAGGACTGGAGGCAGGACTCACATTTAGAAAATGGTAAGAATGTGTGGCACACCCTGATTTCAGCAGTCAGCTTAAGAAATACCCTGCCCTCAGGGAAGAACTCCCTGGCCCAGAATGAGAGGAGCTGCTCCTACCAGGTGACCACTGGACCCTTGTCTCTGCTCTGCCAGTCACCCCTCGTTGTGCACCCCTCCTGCGCAGAAGCTCCAGGAGGGAGGGAGCACTTCCTGGGCTCTGCTCCTGCCCAGCACCCAGCACAACACAGGCTCATTGTTGAATGAATGAAAGAGAACCACACGGAAGAGACTCTGTGAAGAGCTGGGAAAATGCTGTGTGACAGAAAACAAGGGAAGAAAGAAGACTTAAACTGCTGGAAATTAAAAAAAAAAGAGAGAGAGAGATAAAAGCAAGATAAAGTGTAATAAAAATCTAACACAAAACAGAGGATCTCACAACAGGATGGAACATAACCATCTTGAGGAAAAACGGCAGAAATGTTGACGATTCTATAGTTTGCTCAAAAAGGTTTAGGGAGTGGGTATTTAACACAGCAGTTAAGATATCAGTATTCCATACTGCAGTGCCTGGGTTCAATTTCTGGCTGTAGCTCCTGACTCCAGGTTCCTGCTAATGTGCACCCGGGGGAGCAACAGGCAACGGCCACATAACTGGATTTCTGTTACCCACATCGGGGAGCAAGCTCTTAAGTTGAATTGTAGGCTGCTGTCCTCAGCTCTAGCCCTGCCTCAGCTATTGCAGGCATCTGGAGAATGAACCAGTGGATGGAAAATCTGTTTCTGTCTGTCTGTCTGTCTCTCTCTGCCTTTCAAATAAATAAATAAATAATAAAATTAAGAAGTTTTAGACCAAGTACACACACACACACAGTTTTGACACAGAAGGAGATGGATGTGGGAGATATCAAATAAAGCTTTCTCATATGTGCCCAACTTGCCTTCATAGCCACTGTCTGAAGAAGTGGAAGAGCTGGGTTCATCCCTCGTGTCAGGAGCTGTTGCTTCAGGGTCAGCCTCTCTGTGCTCAAGCGAAGCACTGGCTTCCTCGACAATCCAGCTCTCTGCCTGCTGTTGACTCATGATGTTATACTTTATCTTCTCCATTGCTGATATAATCACATCTGCCACATAAAAGTGGGCATTTTCCTGCAAGAAAAAAAAATCAATGGAAATACAAGCATAATCAATATTTTTTTTTCATGGAGAGTATATTAGATTTGAAACATCAATAAGCTCCAAAACCAGTCTGAGTTCAATAGTGTTCATGCATATAAATATAAATGCTCACTTAACAGAACTTTCCACAAGGATATGAGGTTCTTCCCCAAAAAATTAATGGAAGAGGAAACCAAAAGATAAGTTTATTTTAGAATTAAAATTTTACGTGAAACCCATGCATAGTTTTTTTTCATAATGCACATTTCCCATGAGTCCTTTGGTGACCCCTCGTAGGCCACTGCATGGCTTGCAGCCCACATCATCCAGAGACGTAGATTTAGTCCACTCTCACCAGCAGCCAACTGGGTAGAATCTCTGGTGATACAAAACCCTAGCTGGATGGTGGCCCAATGGCCGACTCATTCATCGGTCACAGAACACCTTCCAGCTGAGCGCAGATCCTGCCCTGGAACCCTTCTCAATGCAGCGTGCCTAGCAGCCTCTACAAATCAAATGCTGAAACAAAACCTATTTTTCATGCCTCATCAAGGTGAGGTTTACCCTGTAGTTAAGAAAAAAAAAAGAGACGATGTTAACATTTACCTTTTCTACATCAACAGGCAGCATGAATGCCTCTGGTGAGAAGGAATTCAAAGAAATGGTTCTTCTACTGACTTGAACAGCACCTACTAATGTAGCAAGTTATTAAAAATGGAGAAATGGAAGTCCAAAGTTTATCTAAGAAAACAAAACAATTCTAAGAAGCAGCTTTCAAATACTGTTCAATAAAAGACAACCTAACACAATTCTGGACAAAACAAGGATGACAGAAAAAGAAAGTCCCTTGTGATGTGAGGTCCTGCAGATACTGCCTTGCTGATTATTTCTCAGAGAGGCTGTGGAGTCACTGGGAGAACCATTGGAATGGAATAGGAAGAGAAGAGGATCATGGGTAGGAAGAGGATCATGGGAAATAGCTACAGGATATGGGGAACAGTGAGAAGGACCAGTGCAAAAGCAGGGCCATAAGTATTATGGGATCAGTTCTCCAAATCATTGTGAGTGACCCCAAACTTCCTGTCCACAGAAACAAACCCATCTGAAAATGTTTGTACTGCTTCTTTGAAACAATCTTCCTCCAGTGAAAAACAAGAAATTGCAGAAGCTATATTCTGCTGACTTCCTATTTTCTTGCACCCATAAGCCACTCCACTAGTGGCAACGACCACCATCAGAACAAGCATTGTTTCTGTTGTGCGGTTTCTCTTTGTGCAGAATTTAATGCAAAAGTTTCTATGGCCACCACAAGAGCTGAATTGTCTGGGTCTGCTCATTAGAACACAATGCCGCAAACGCCGTGGTGCACGTGCAGCTCTCAGAAGGCTCAGCAGAGAGGCAAGCAGGCTCACTCGAATCCCGAGCCTCGTGTTCAAGAAAGCAGTGGATGCACGGCACACTTTGGTCCTCATAGCTTCAGAAACCAGCTGGGGCTGGCCGACTAGGTAGTAAATATTGTAGAGCCTGAAGTTCGTATAGCATCCATTGCAATTACTCCATCTGCCACAGTAGTGCAGCACCAACTAGAGACAAAACAAAACTTTGTTCATAAAAAGAGGCAGCAGGAAGGAGTTGGCGCACAGATCCTAGTCTGTGGATCCTAAGCTTATCAGAAAATCACAGTCAAGTCGCAATAGATTCCAGGTCCAGCTCTCCATGGACAGGCTATTCTGCATCTAAACCTTCTTCTCTCTCAGATCAGGGTAACTGCCTAGTAGGACATCAAGGTGGGGCTAGGAACGTGAAAGTGCCTTAGGAACGTGTAGATCCTCTGCAAATAGAAGCAGCTGTAGAACTGCTTCCTACAGCCTCAGGAAACACGTACGTCGTCTTTCTCCTCCTACCACATTTTCTAGGAAAGGAAAACCTGCTGCTGCCACTTGAAATGCAGCAAAATCACAGAGGAATCCACATGTGACCAGCCAACGCCTGCTCTCCCCATCCCTGCCCCACAGCAAAGAAAGGAAGAGCCAGGTCACTCAGGACTTCCCTTCCTTACTCCCACGGAATCAATCCCCTCACCAAATGTAAAAGATATTCTTAGGACACAGATGGCTGTGAGAGGCCCTGAGAAGGATTTCTAGGAGTGCCTGTATTCGCACAAAAGGGGTTGTAATCCTTGCTTTTGTTTTGGGAGAAAGTTAAAGGCACAGGGTTATTTTAAGTTGCACAGCCACCTTCTGCAGAGGGATCAACAAGAAACTTGTGGCCCGGCAGACCAGGCTCAAAGATCCTTTTCAGTCAGTGAGTTTGTAACTTGTCACTGTTTGTGGGGGCGGGGGAGTGGGGGATGGGGGATGCACAATCCAATAACAGATCAACCTCACAGCAACCACTAACTTTATCCTGAGAACTACCCAGGAAGGTCAATGAAGATAGATAAAAAGGCCTGTAAGGAGTGTGGTTTTACTCAAATCTGGTTCTTATCTCAAAAGTAACCCATCGAGGGACCAGTATGTAGGAGGTTAAAGCCATATGGGGCCGGCGCCACGGCTCACTAGGCTAATCCTCCGCCTTGCGGCGCCGGCACACCGGGTTCTAGTCCCAGTCGGGGCGCCAGATTCTGTCCCAGTTTCCCCTCTTCCAGGCCAGCTCTCTGCTGTGGCCAGGGAGTGCAATGGAGGTTGGTCCAAGTGCTTGGGCCCTGCACCCGCATGGGAGACCAGGAGAAACACCTGGCTCCTGGCTTCGGATCAGGGCAGTGCACTGGCTGCAGAGCGCCGGCTGCGGTGGCCATTGTGGGGTGAACCAACGGCAAAAGGAAGACCTTTCTCTCTGTCTCTCTCTCTCACTGTCCACTCTGCCTGTCAAAACAAACAAACAAAAAGCCATATGGGCGCTGGTTCCAGTCCCTGTTGCCTCTCTTCCAATCCAGCTCTCTGCTGTGGGCTGGAAAAGCAATAGAGGATGGCCCAAGTGCTTGGGCCCCTGCACCGGCGTGGGAGACCTGGAAGATGCTCTTGGCTCCTGGCTTCAGCCTGGCCCAGCCCTGGCTGTTGAGGCCATTTGGAGGAGTGAACCAGCAGATGGAAGAACTGTGTGTGTGTGTGTGTGTGTGTGCGCACGCGCGCGTGCATGTGTTTGTGAGAGAGTGTCTCTTCTCTCTCTGTAACTCTGACCTTCAAATAAATAAATAAATCTTTTTTAAAAATTAGCACATCAAAAAACTGGCCCAGGACTGCTCTTCTTGAGTAACGTATTAAATGTTGTTACCATCTTTGATTTTTCAAACAGTTCCCATGCTTGAAATAAACCCCAAATCTGCGTCATAAGGATTCCTGTTAACAAGAAATAAATAGGGGCCGGCGCTGTGGCGTAGTAAGTGAGGCCACCGCCTGTGGTGCCAGCATCCCATGAGGGCACTGGTTCAAGTCCCAGCTGCTCCACTTCTGATCCAGCTCTCTGCTATGGCCTGGGAAATCAGTAGAAGATGGCCCAACTCCTTGGGCCCCTGCACCTGCGTGGGAGACCCGGAAGAAGCTCCCAGCTCTTGACTTCAGATTGGTGCAGCTCTGGCCGTTGCAGCCATCTGGAGAGTGAACCAGCAGCTGGAAGACCTCTCTCTCTCTGCCTCTACCTCTGTAACTCTGCCTTTTAAATAAATAAATAAATATTTTGTTAAATAAATAAATATATAAATATGTAGAAATATATATGGGCAGCTTCTAAAATTGTTTTCAAAGAAAAACCTGGACTGAACTAGAGTTCAGACATAAACAATTGAAAGCATGAATATAATAAATACTTAAGAACACCACAAACAGCAGAATTCTTGAGTGGCAGGCACTTTGCGTGCATTATCTTATTTTAGGAATTTTATATAGTCACTGGGGGGAAATCACAGGTGTTGTTTTTAAATCTTGTCGTCTCATCACCCTCTGCATAGGTATACACAACAGATGAGGCGAGCTCATTGCCCATGCAGGTAGAGGTGTGAATTGGAACCCCTTCAAGCCATGGGGACACACCTTCCATCACCCATCCTGAATGGAGAGGGCTCCGCATGGTCCCCCTTGCAGAGAGCTGAACTGACTGTTAAGTCCCTGAAGGCACACACCAGACCAAAGCGGGCACAAGGCGTCGATCAGCAGTCATACTAATAACATTTCCCTGCAGCCTAAGAAGTGAGCAAATTCTTGGCTTTCCCTGCTGTGTCCAGCCCGGTGTCTGGGCTGATGATACTATTAAGGCAGCTAGTACAGACTTCTGGTGAAAGAAGAGATCTGTGAATTATTTTTTCTCTTAGAGAAGACATTAAGGCAGGCTTTAGATGGAGGGGAAGCCGAGTGTGTGGACAGACAGAAATGAGGAAAGTCTTCGAACCAGCACTACCTTCAGCAGCAGAAACTGTCAGTTGCAAAGGCTCCAACAACGCACAGTCAACCTCGGGACACGCAGACGTGGCCAAAATCCTAGAACTCGTCGGGAAAGACGCATGACGAGAACACCCTGGGAGAGCCACCCGTTCTTCAGTCCAAGAGAAGCCGCCGCTCTTCATGCCTGAGCCACGGGCAGAGGCACTGCCTGTGGAGTCTGCAGCGTCCTCAGAAAACGTTGTCTCTTCAGGGGCGCCCCCGAGGGGCGGCGGCGACGGGTCCGAGGGAGGGGCAGCATCTGCCGCCGCGTGGCTGGCGCTGTTCCCCACCGCCGGCACCTGGGAAGGCGAGTCCTGCAGCTGCTGCCGCACACACTGGGGGTTAATCCAGGCCGCCCTGTGCCTCGTGAACCTGACATCTAACCGGCAGTGGGGCTGCTCGGCACCCAGGAGGCTGGGGGAAGCATCAGCGTCGCTGGAGGCTCCGCCGATCCCTTCCCAGGCGTCCACAGGGGCATCCTGCTGGCCTGAGGACTGGGACACCATCTTGCCAGGCTCGGGGCTGCGGTGAGAGCGGTCAGGACTGACGGGAGGAGTTCTCTGGGGGCTGTAGCACTACTTGATGAGGAACTTGAACTTGCCACATGGCCAGCCAAAGGTCTGAAGAAATTCCCTGCAAGGAGCAAAAGTCATTCAAGATAAATAATGGGTCCAAGGTTACAGCAAGACAGGCGTAAGAAGTTCTAGGGTTTTATTGCACAGCAGGGTGACTATCAGCAAAGGTAATGTACTTTATATTTCTCTATAAAATAAAAATAAACTAGAAGACAGGATTTCAGATGTTTTCATCACAAAGGAATGCCGAATGTTTGAGATACACACACACACACACACACACACACATATATATATATATATTTACCCTGATTGGTCAGCACTCAGTATATGCATGTATTGAAACACCACACAGTACTCCATACATATGTACAAGTTTTATACGTCTGATAATAAATACTTTAAAAAGTTACAACATTTTTTTAAAGATAAGGGTGGGCATTTGACACAGTTGTTCAGTTGCACTTGGGACTTGTGCATGCCATATTGGAGTAGCTGGTTTGAGTCCAGGCTCCTCCACTTCCTGTCAAGCTTCTTGATAGCCTACACCCTGGGAGGCAGCGGATGATGGCTCAAGTACTTGGGTCCCTGCCACCCACTTTAGAGACCTGGACTGAGTTCCTGACTTTGGCCTGACCCAGCCCTGGCTTTTGCAGGCATTTGAGGGATAAACCAGCAGATGAGAGATCTCTCTCTCTCTCTCTCTCTCTGCCCCTCTTTCTGCCTTTCTAATAAAAATGAAAGTCAATAAATAAATAATATTTTTAAAAGATAGATAAGGGATTAATCATATTTTAGACTGCAAATTACTGGGGGGAGACAGAAAACAGAAAAAAAAGGAAAAGTTTGTATTTTGCTCTGTACAGCACAGTAAATTTAGCTGATTTGAGTCAAAAAAATAAATCAGCTACAGGGGTCGGCGCTGTGGTGTAGCAAGTAAAACCACCGCCTGCAGTGCCGGCATCCTAACTAATAAATCACATAAAATATAAAACATCTGGGGCTGGTGTTGAGGTGCAGCCAGTTAAAGCCCTGGCCTGAAGCACCAGCATCCCATATGGGCGCCGGTTCTAGTCCCGGCTGCTCCTCTTCTGATCCAGCTCTCTGCTGTGGCCTGGGAAAGCAGTAGAAGATGTCCCAGGTCCTTGGGCCCCTACACCCTCGTGGGAGACCCAGAAAAAGCTTCTGGCTCCTGGCTCCTGGCTTCGGATTGGCACAGCTCTGGCCATTGTGGCCATCTGGGGAATGAATCAGCGGATGGAAGACCTCTCTCTCTGCCTCTACCTCTCTCTATAACTCTTTCAAATAAATTAAATCTTTAAAAAAATATAAAACATCCAAATATCAAAATCATTCCAACAAAATTAAATGTTGGGGGCCAGCGCTGTGGCATAGTGAGTGAGGCTGCCATCTGCAGTGCCAGCATCCTGTATGGGTGCTGGTTCGAGACCTGGCTGCTCTAATTCCAGTCCAGCTCTCTGCTATGGCCTGGGAAAGCAGTAGAAGATGGCTCAAGTCCTTGGGCCCCTGCACCCGCGTGGGAGACCCAGAGGAAGCTCCTGGCTCCTGGCTTCAGATCGGTGCAGCTCCGGCTGTTGCAGCCATCTGGGGAGTGAACTGGCAGATGGAAGACCTCTCTCTCTCTCTCTCTCTGCCTCTCATTTCTCTCTTTCTGTGTAACTCTGACTTTCAAATAAATAAAAACTTTAAAAAAATTAAATGTTAAATCCAAAGTAGGACTACTATCTGGAAGCAAAGATGCATGTTCGTCCATTTAAAATTTTTATTTAGTTTGTATTAGCATTTTCACAAAGTAGGCAAGTGGCTTGACCAGCAGTACCGCATTTCATGTAACTTACATTGGCTTATATAATATTTATATTGAAATAGCAATTCATATTATTAATTTATAATAGTTGAAGAATACACTATGAATCTAGACTCATCTTTAAGGTGGTTCACTTGCTTTGTAAAAAAAAAAAAATTGTTTATTTGAGGGCAGAGACAGAGAACAGAGCTCTCATTCACTGGCTCACTTCTCAAATGCCCACAATGACTGCGATAAGGCCAGGGCTTAGGCCAGGAGCCAGGAACTCAGTACAGGGCTCTGTGTGCGTAGCAGGGACCCAAGTACTTGAGCCACCATCTGCTGCCTCCCAGGGTCTACACTGACAGGAAGCTGGAATGAGGAGCAGACTTGAGCTTAGGTACTCCAGTACGGGATACAGTCACCTTAACCAGTGCCTTAGCTGATACTCTGAATATCCACCCCCCATTCACTCACTTTAGGCTTGGTTTTTGCTTTAGTTAATAAGGTGATAATTAAAATGTCAAGTGCTATGCAAATGAGAAGCCCTTTTGTCATTAAAACTACAGGTTCAGCAAATGTTTCTTTTTACTATTCTCCTTTCTGGAACAGAGGAACAACCCTCAAAGGCGAGGGAGTCCAGCACCGGGAAATCTAGAAATAGAAGCCCTCTATCTAGGCAGGTTCAGCCATTTATGAAGGGTTTCAAAACATGTGCACAGTGCTGACTATGAGACTCTGTGGAGCCAATTCCAGAGCTCTAAATACCATCATTATGTGTGTAGGCAACTCCCAAATGCATATCTGGACTCCTGACCTCCCCCTGAACTCCAGGATACCATTATCCTACTTTCTATTTGACATCGGTTCAAAGGGCATTCCGATGTGAAACACAGAAAAGAGCCCGATCTCCTCCCAAACCTGCTCCTCTCTTGTTTCTCCCATCTCCAGAAACACATCTGCTATCTTTCCATAGCTCTCCACCTTTATCCCATCCTCAAATCCACAGCTACAGCCAGCACCTTAGTCTAAGTCACCATTTTCTCCCACCTGAACACCCAGCCATCACTCCCCAGTGGGCAGCCCTGCCTCCACAATCAACAGGAATTTCAGAGAGATCTTTTATAAGCCTAAATGAGATCACACCAGTCCCCTGCTAATAGCAATCCCCCCAACGGCTTCGCCTCAAATCCGGAATAGAATCCGAATGCCTTACCTTGTCCCTAGGGCCTGACATGCTCCTGCCCCCTGCAGACCTCTCTGCCTGTCTTCATTCAGCCTCCGAGCTGCAGCCACACAGCCACACAGCCGGCTCTTGAACCCTGCAAGCTCTTTCTCACCCCGGGAGTGCTTTTCTAGATCCCCTCTGTCTGCTCTTCCCCAAAACGAGCACACCTCTGACTCTTTCCTGTCACACGCGCTCTGGTTGATGAATTACTTCCTCAAAGAACTTTCCTAATGACTTCTCTTGAGGTGGTTCCCCACTCACGCTCCATCACAGCACCCTGTGTAGTTTTAATCTCACTTCCTGAAATGTCAGCGCTCCCCACCTGCGCCCGACCATGAGCTTCCTGGGGGCAGTGGCCTGGCTGCATCCCCCTTATCTGGAGTAGCACGTGGAAATTCAATCAACGTTTCTGAGTAAATCGACAAAGCAGGCATAAAGTCAAGAGCTACTTAAAGATTTCTATGGGGGCAGGTGTTGTAATGCAGCCAGTAAAACCACAGCCTACGACACGGGCATCCCACATGGGTACTGGTTCGTGTCCAATCCTGCTTCCCTGCTAATGGCCTGGGGAAAGCAACAGAAGATGGCCCAAGTGTTTGGGCCCCTGCCCTCTACATGGGAGACCCACATGAGGCTCCCGGCTCCTGGCTTTGACCTGGCCCAGCCCTGGCTGTTGTGGCCATTTGGGGAGTGAACCAGAGATCTGTGATAGATACAGCTGTTCTATTCCTAGGTCAGTATTATTCATACAGGCATAGAGGTGAGTTCATGTTTCCTAAAGATATGAAATTTCTCACCCAATGTTTATAATAAGATACAAGTTCAAATAAACCCAAAAAAGGTACATAGAAAAATTGTTCTTAAAAGTCCTCTCTTCCAGGTGACACCTTTGGGAGGGATACAGATGAAGATTATATAAACAGCCATGCACCACATAGCAACATTTTGGTCAATGGCACACCCTACATACAACAGAGTCCCTGTAAGATTATATTGCCTCGTGACGTCACCATCTTAGTGTAAGTGCACTCTGTGATGGTTGCATAATGATGAAATCACCAATGACTCAGTTCTCAGGACAAATTCCCATCACTGAGCAATACATGACTCTGTCTGTGTATATGTCCCACATATCTTTTGTATTATATATATATAATACAAAAATATATATACATACATATATATACATATACATGAAGTTTATGGAGGGACAAGTGTTTGGCCTAACAATTAAGATTCTTACTTCCCATACTGCAGTACCTAGGTTTGAGTCCAGATTCCAGCTTCCTGCTAATTCAAACCCTGGGAGAAACGTGTAATGGTTTAAGTATTTGGGGGGGTTCTACCATCCGTGTGGGAGACTGGCATTGAGTTCCAAGTTCCTAGATTTGACCTGGCCCAGGCTCAGACACTGTGGACATTTGGGGAGTGAACCAACAGATGGGAGATCTCACCATCTGTCTCCCTCTCTCTGACCCTCAAATTAAAAAAAAAAAAATTGTGGAAATTAAAAGACAAAGTAATAGTAATAGTTTCTTTTCATAATATATATTTTACATGAAATTTTTGAAGACCCCTTGTGTGAGTGTGAGTGTGAGTGTGTGTGCACACTCATGTGTATATCTAAATACAAGCCCCAAATCACAACTCACGGTATATCACAGGACATACCTGTGTCAACTGCCAGAACTTTCCACCGCAAAGTGCTTCATCTGCCTCTGCAGCCCTCAAACACCCCCTTGTGTTCCAAGTTCTCCTTGTTGCATACCTTTTCCTCTCCAATAACTTTGGATTTTATAACCACAAAACAAAGCAATGACTATGACTTTGATAAAGCGATTCAAACATGGAAGCCTGGAGTGACGATTGAGGAGCACCCCTCACATTGAGCCCCACCATTCCAAATTCACTCTTGAAATGATTTTCCTACCCATTTTTTGGTTCCAGGCCCGGTTAAACCCATATTTGGGTCCGGAAATTTTTTTTTTTTCCGTTTTACCCCCAATCCAGGGGACCAGGGTACAACCTCATAACCTCCTCCTTTTTTTTTTTGTTGACAGGCCAGAGTGGACAGTGAGAGAGAGACACAGAGAGGAAGGTCTTCCTTTGCCGTTGGTTCACCCTCCAATGGCCGCTGCGGCTGGCATGCTGCAGCCAGTGCACCATGCTGATCCAAAGCCAGGAGCCAGGTGCTTCTCCTGGTCTCCCATGCGAGTGCAGGGCCCAAGCACTTGGGCCATCCTCCACTGCACTCCCGGGCCACAGCAGAGAGCTGGACAGGAAGAGGAGCAACCGGGACAGAATCCAACGCCCCGACCGGGACTAGAACCCGGGGTGCCGGCGACGCAGGCGGAGGATTAGCCTAGTGAGCAGCCATGGCGCTGGCCCTCTATAACTTCTTTTGCTCTCAACATTATGTCTATTATTTCTTACCTATTTCTTTTTTCAAAATTTTTATTATTTATTTAATTGAAAAGCAGAGATAGTGACATAGATCTTCCATCTTCTGGTTTACTCCCCAGATGCCTACAACAACCAGGGCTGGGCCAGGGAGAAGCCAGGATCCCAGATCTCCATCTAGGTCTTCCATATAGGTGGCAGGGACCCATGTACTTGAGTCACTGCTTGCTACCTCCTAGGCAGGAAGCTAGAATTGGGAGAAGAATTGAACTCAAATGCAGGGACTCTGACATGGAATGTGGGCATTCCAAGCAGCATATTAACTGCTACACCAAACACCCTTCCTCTTACCAATCTCTGTAGTATAAATACAGCACACCTTCCTTAGCCAGATGCTATTGATGAAAAATTATTGCAAATTTTTGTTTTTATAAAATATGCACCAATGAACATCTTTGTTCATGTCTTTTTTTTTTTTTCTGACTTTCTTCTACTAGTTCCTTTCCCTTACTAGTTCTAACCTTAGGCTGAGTCCATAGTCTGAGTTCATGATAAACTATTTCCAACAGAATAAAGTTACAGAAGTAAGTCATGGTTTATTCTAATTTTCTACATACCACATCTTTTGTGTTTGTGGAGGGGATATATTTATAGATATAAAAATCATATGTATGGAGCCGGCACTGTGGTGTAGCAGGTAAAGCCACCGCCTGCAGTGCCAACATCCCATATGGGCGCTGGTTCGAGTCTTGGCTGCTCTGCTTCCGAACCAGCTCTTTGCTGTGGCCTGAGAAAGCAGTAGAAGATGGCCCAAGTCCTTTGGCCCCTGCACCCGCGTGGGAAGACCCCAAGGAAGCTTCTGGCTCCTGGCTTTGGATTGGCGCAGCTCCAGCCACTGCAGCCAATTGGGGAGTGAATCAGCGGATGGAAGACCTTTCTCCCTCTCTTTCTGCCTCTCCTTTCTCTGTGTAACTCTGACTTTCAGATAAATAAGTAAATCTTTAAAAAAAATCACATGTAAAATATACACCCTTAAGTGATAAATAATTGTGATCCAGAGTTTTTATAAACAGATTAAAGTCAACAGCTGAAAGAGAAATACACTATTTGTGAACTTCCCATGGATGGGAATCGATCTAAGTACATCGAGAGAAAACAAACTTCCTTATAGAAAGCAGTTTTTAGAAGCAGGTGGTTGCCCCACTTCCTTCTAGAAAGGTAAGGCCGCTTCATAAAATAACCAGCAGGCTCTGGCTTTGCCGAGTTACCAAACCATAACATTTCAGAGCTGCGATAGATCCCCAGAAATTCCAAACTGTATCTCAGGTCACAGCTGGGGACAGTGGCAGAGAGACGATAGGAAGTCAGGCTGAGCACTCATTAGGGACCATGAGTTTCTTTGGGAAGTGGAGAGACACAGAAGAGAGGCCCTAGTGACAGGAGGGCCACATTTTCTTTTCTAATGTTTAGGGTAAGTAGTTCCCATCATACAGTTGCTGAGTATGTAGCTTACCGCCGTACTGCTGTTAGTTATCCAGCTAAAAATATTGATTGAGGTTCTACCATACACCTGGCATTGTTTTTGTTTGGAAGAACTGGGGTAACATAACAGTGGTAACCAAATTAAGCCTATTTTCTGGGGGAGGGGAGATGGTGAACAGACACACACATTCATGCATTTCAGGGACTGACAGCAGGTACTGTGGATTGAAGCAATGCTTAGCATGTTTTCAACATACTTCCTGCCAGCATAAATGAGGTCCTTTATATGCTGGAGCACAAGAGAAAACCAATTTCCAAAAGGATTTTAGAAGAAGGGAAATCAAGGCTCAAAGCTTAGCATCATTCCTACTGAGATTTTCCTACCGGGATCAAAGGTGAGTACAGGCCAGGTTACTAGTTAATATGAGTGTGACAGCTAAGTCCTAGACAAAGGAGAGACCCTGGGCCTCCCCTAGCCAAGTCATTCTGACTCTGTCAGTCAGTGGCCCCACAGAAAATGGCAGAATCACTACAGCCACTTCAGAGCCACACCATCCACTGCGCAGAGGGACAGATTTCTCAGCTGGGTAGGAGCCACCATGACCTCTACAGTGACCTCACAGAGTCCTTCAGACTACAAGCAGCCAGAGCAACCTCAGCATCTACTGTGCCTAACAGTCTTAAAAGTAGTACTCTGCAGGGTCCGGCGCTGTGGTGTGTGGGTAAAACTGCTGCCGCAGCGCCGGCATCCCATATGGGCACTGGTTCAAGTCCCAGGTGCTCTTCTGCTATGGCCTGGGAAAGCAGTGGAAGATGGCCCAAGTCCTTGGGCCCTGCACTCATGTGGGAGACCTAGAAGAAGCTCCTGCCTCCTGGCTTCGGATCGGCTCAGCTCTGGCTATTGCCGTCATTTGGGGAGTGAACCAGGGGATGGAAGACTTCTCTCCCTTCTCTCTCTCTGCTTTGCCTCTCTGTCACTGCCTTTCAAATAAATAAGTAAATCTTTAAAGGACTCTGTGAACAAGCATAAGCATATTGGATTTGGGGCTTAGGATCATCCCTGTCCTGGCACTGCTATCCATTCTGCACGTAACTGGGGGCATCAGAGTTAAGATTCATCTTAAACATTACCTTTCCAGGGAGGCCTCTGTGGTCACCCTATAAAAAGGGCAATTGCCCTTCCCCAACAGTTCTTACCTACCCTCCTGGCTCCATCTCTCTCCTTCCTACCAATCTCCATTTTATTTAACCTCAACGGCGACTAGGATGTGACATCTATGGGAGCAATTTTTGGAAGAATCTATTTTGGATGCTAGGGTATTCCAAGCACCTAGAACACTTTTTTTTTTTTTTTTTTTTTGACAGGCAGAGTGGACAGTGAGAGAGAGAGACAGAGAGAAAGGTCTTCCTTTGCCGTTGGTTCACCCTCCAATGGCTGCCACGGCCGGTGCGCTGTGGCCGGCGCACCGTGCTGATCTGAAGCCAGGAGCCAGGTGCTTCTCCTGGTCTCCCATGGGGTGCAGGGCCCAAGCACTTGGGCCATCCTCCACTGCACTCCCGGGCCACAGCAGAGAGCTGGCCTGGAAGAGGGGCAACTGAGACAGAATCCGGTGCCCCGACTGGGACTAAAACCCGGTGTGCCAGCGCCGCAAGGTGGAGGATTAGCCTAGTGAGCCACGGCGTCGGCCAGCACCTAGAACACTTTCAATAACAGGTGCTCAATGAATGTATTCTTTGAGCAGCTAAATGAAAGAATGAGCACACTAATCAAGAAGACCCAAGAGGGATATGTTGGCTATTTCTGTTACCCAAGAAAAGAAGTCAGGAATAGATGTCATCTTTTAGAAGAAATTAGAGACCACAACCTAAGATGTCTACAAAGCATTGCTTAGAATAAAGAATATTAGAAGATAAAAATCACAAACCAGATGTTGAGCTTGGTTCCATTTTAT